CCCGTTCGGATGCCCAATGTAAATCTATGCTCGTTTACACCCAGCTACCCCCTAGCCTGGTCCAGAGAAACAGACGGATTAGGGATCTATTTCACCAGACCAGATAGTGCCGGATCGGGGATAATCTGATGCAAACGGACACATGTCGGTTTACATCAGTCTCCCCATAGGCTGAAATAGGGTTCGGCAGTTTATGTTTTTTCCTCCATCACAAGGTGGAGGAAAAAAAATGTCCAGACACAGATGTCGCAGCAGTGACATCTGCTCTATACTGCTGTGATCAGGAGAGGATACGTGCATGGATCCCCTCCTGATTAGCCCGTGTGAAAGGAGCCTTAAAAAAAAAGGAGAAATATGGCGTTAAGGCTTTTCCCCATAGTTCTCCTTAGGGTAATGGGAGGACACAAACTAGTGTCCTCCCGTCACCCTAAGCTCAGTATACCGCGAGCACTGAGACGCCACAGCTGAAGCGGATTATGTCTGGATCCGCCCAGCTGCGTGAGTGACAGCTGGCTCTGCCTCTCTAGAGGCAGAGCCAGCTGTACCCGCCCCCTCCCCCGTCCGATCCGCCAGTCAGCGCTGGTGTAGCGGAGCGTGGAGGGGGGAATCCAGCCCCTCCCCTGTCACGGCAGAGAGCTGTGACAGGATCGAGAGGTGAGCGAACCCGGTATGTGTTCGCTCACCTCCCGCTCTATAAAGCCGACCTGTGACAGTCTCATTGTCACAGGTCGGCTAGAACTATGAGGTGAGTGAAAAGCACTCATCTCATAGTTCTCCTTTAAGGTGCCCATACACCTGCCAATTATCGTACGATAATCGGCAGGTGTATGGGCAGCGTGCGACCGCTTCTACTGTAAGGTTGCACGATATTCGTCTTCCTAGCACGCTTGAAAACCTGCCGTACGATTTTTGGCGGGTTGATGGCGTGGTCGGGAGACGAATGCCACACGGGACGGTCCAAGATGGGCAGATCGTACGAAATTTCACTGAAGGGCCCATAGCCCTGCATGATATGTGAAGATGCTGAGGTGCAGTCCACAAGCAAGAGCATAGGGGAGGGAGGTGAGCCCCGGGGGAGCAGGGAATCTGGTAAGTAAAACGGTTTTACACAGCTTCCCTACACATAAACCAGCAGTTAACCCTTGTCGGCTTTAAACAAAACTATACAAATGTTTAAGTAACTCAGTTTGTATGTAGAACAGGGGTGCCCACAAGGTCGATCGCAATCTACCAGTCGATCGCGTAGCGATCACTGGTAGATCGCACTGTCCTCTCCTCCCGCTGCTCTCCCCAGCGGGGATCCGAGAAGAAGTGAAGGAACCTGCGGCTGTCACAGAACTAATGAAGAGCGGTGAGGAGAGAGCGAGACAGAGCGACAGAGCGTCCCTAATATTTCCCCCGAAGCCCCCCCAAGAGTTAAAAAAAAAAAATTACGAAAATTAAAAAATAAATAAAATAATGAAAATTAAATTAAAAAAACGTTTTTTTTCTTGCCTCAGGCGCAAAAGGAGCTGGCTACGGCTATGCTTCCGTGGTGCTCGTGCGGCTGCCGGCTGAATGTGTCAGACACTGCAGATGGAAAGGTGCAGGACACCCCATGTGCAACGTCGGCCACACAAGCACCACGGGAGGACAGGACTCCGGGACCTGTAGGGCGCAATGTAAGCCGGCCGACTCTCTGCGTTCAGGTGCGGGAGGGGGTGTGGAGCTGTATTGAAGTCAATGGCATCGCCCACATTGCGATCGCCCGCACTCGGAACGCAGGCACATTAGTGCCTGCATTCCGGTCCAGTGCGATCTGCAAAAATAGTGCTCGCAGAATTTTTGCGGATCGCACTGGACTGGAACACAGGCACTAATGCAGGCGATCGCACTGTGGGCGAGGGGCCTGCCTGCGGAGCCTGGCTGCGGTGCCATTGACTTCAATGCACCGCCACTCCCCCTCCTGCCCCTGAACGCAGGTGTTTTTTTGTTGGTAGATCTCAATGAGCTCGTCATTTGAAAAGTAGATCTCCAGACGAAAAATAGTGGGCGCCCCTGATGTAGAACATCCTAAAATATATAGAACTACAATTTCTCAGATTTATCATACCTCCCTAGTTCCTACATTGTCCATCTCCATTATATAGGGTGATGAGGACAACTCTGGTCTAGGGGTTATGGCCTGCTGGCATCTGATAAAGGTCTTGTCTTGCTTCTGCTCAACATCCCCACTGCGTTTTAACAATTCCAATGCAAGTAGGTGTAAAGAAAACAGGAACCCAGATAGCAAGCAATTGAGCGTCAAGTTTGAAAATGACTTGCTAGAGTAATACAGACTTGCCAAGCTTCACAATTTTGTTGCACAATTACAGCAAGTCTGCATTGCAAGTCTCCAGACCAGCGAGCTTTGCAAAAGTGCTGTACACGTGCAGAGCTCTTGCTAAGACCTGCAGGACTCTTGCTGTAGACTTGCCACGCAAATTTGCTACAAATTAAAAAAGTGTCAACTAGAACTTGTGCTGCAAGTGTTCTGCAAGTCTACAACTTGCCAGGAATGTGTGCAACAAGTTAACAAGAATTACATTTTAACCCTGCCACAAGTTTGTGGCAAGTTATCCTTACTATCTGGGAAACTGAAATTCAAAATGTTTTTAGTAAAAGTGACTCCTGGGAAAATATATATTTGAATACCTAAACTGGTGGAAGGGAAAACTAGATTGTGCTTGTGACCACAACCTGTGAGGTGCAACTGGTTGTAGGCAATTCATTTGAAATTCAGGGTTCTGTCTGTCCAATCCAGGAGCAAGCACCTAAAGAAAAGTTGGGACACCAGCTGTAATTTTTAAGGAGCATTGGCAACCTGACTCCTGGGATTTGCCCAGCCCTCCCCTAGGCTAATGTTCTCAGAGTGGCTGGAGAAGGGCCCACCCGCAGCTGGAGGAGCACCCACGGCATGAGGAGGGCGCAACGGAGGCGGGAAGAGGAGCACCTACGGCGGGAGGAGG